GTGACATGTCTCACAACACGAAACACTTCTACGTAAACACAAAAATGTCACAGTTTTGTGCACTCTGCGACATCCACTTTCATCACCGCCGTGCTGTGTTTGTCTCAGCATGGTTGTGAATTTACAGGCTAACCGCTAATGCTAACAGGATGTGCTGTTTGAACAGGATGGTGATAGAAATGTCTCCTTTATTACCTTCACTCCCTCTTTTCCGTCTGTATAAGCACCCGTCTGGGTAGATGATCTTCTTTGTAGCCTTCAAGGGTAGACAGCAAAAGGTATTCCGGAGTTTTAGTTGGTGTGGCATAGTTTCTGAGAGACAGCAAGCCGTTTCATGCTACACTGATGGTTGGCCACTGCAAACACAGCCCGACTGACAGACTACAGTTACACACACACACACACACACGCACGCACACACTGCGACCGCCTACCACATGTTTCAGTATTACAGCTGTGCGGTATGAAATATTAATTCCAGCTGAAAACAACTGACGTTTGTTTTAAAAATGAAAACAAAGCGTATTTATGACATTTAAATCTACTTGTGAAAGCTTTAATGGTGTTTAAAAAAATATTTCAGTCTGGTATAAAGAAAACCTAAAATTGCACTTTTATTGTTATTTTTGCTGTGTATTTATTCATTTGTGTCTGTTGATTTACATTACAACAGCACGCACATGTATTACGAGTGAATAGAAAGGCTGTTTTCTCTAAATTCGCTATTTTTTCTCTCCTGTACTGAGACATAAAAAATAAACATACCTTATTTATTATTCATAAGACGTCTTTTATTATAATAATATAGCCTGTCATTATTATTATTATGTTGTATTATATAATGTTAGCTAAAAAGGCATTATGCATATGATAAACAGAAATAGATTACAGACTGTCAAATTGCTTTACTCATGATAATTAATATTTTATTAGGATCATTGTCATGATGCATGTAATTGTGATTATGTTATTAGTATGTAATTGTGCTTATGTTATTCAAAACATTACAAGATGTGGATATACATTACTTAGTCAAAACCAGCATTAATTAATTTTTAAATGGTGCAGTATGTTGCAGGATTCCTTTTATTAAAATTCAATAAAACATGAACATGAATTGTGTAAATAGATCACAGAAATGTTTCTAGTTACAATAAAAACCACAACATTGTATGTTCATACTTATGAGGGTATATGGAACTATACAACAAATTACAGTTAATAAGATTTCATGTGCAATAATTTCTATCTCACACATGCATTTTTCAGAGTTATGATTTAATGCGGGTAAAGGGCTTTTTTCACCAGCTATTCTTTAGACAGCCTATTGCCATATAGCCTACACTCTGGAGAGAAATTAAGGTATATTTGTAACAACTATATGTTGGATCGCTTTAACCAGATGCATTCAATGCAATGGTACTCCTATGACACTGTATTACAGTGGACTCTGAGACAAATAAAAACACAATTCAGGTGTTGCGATAGAGAACTTTATTCTGTTTGATTTGCAAACTCATCTGAAAACATCTGCATCATTATTGCTGGTCAGGATAAACATGGACTTCGTGCCTACTACATAAACTGTAGACTCTCACAAATACATCCTGATATTGATGAGGTGTGTGATCTGTAAAAGTGACAAGGCAGATTTTTTCCAGATGTTCTGGGCTTGTTACACAAACATTTAAAACACTAAATGATTCTTTTATATATACACATGCCTCATACAAATATCTAAAATCCTATATTCACAATATAAGTCATCGCATATCCTGATTATGATATATATGACAATATTTAATTTTACATTTACCTGCTACAGGAGTAGAGAAGCTGACTTGTTGTCAAGCATTATTTACTTCACTAAGACAGTTTAATGTTGAAGAATTTGATCCAATAGGCCTATTGATAGTAGGTTTGTGAAGAAACGTCACGCTCCTTTGTAAAAGTATTTTGTAGTATTTTTAAATACAAAAATACAGTATTTTATTTTGATACATTTGTGGCTGCTGTATTTTGTAGTTTATTTTGATGCACATAGAATTAAGGTATTTGGTATTTTATTTAAAAATACATGTTGATGTATTTATGCCAATCCCTGCGCATTACTATGGACATACGTTAATACATGGCTGTCAATCAATTTGGTGGTTGGGGAAAACTGCACTCCAATGTCACGTGGGCCTCAAAATGGAAAGCATTTGGGTTCTGTTTAACATCAGGAAATAAAAAAAAGAGACCTATTGTTTTTATATCACCCCAAAATGACTGTGGACACTCTACACCTACAAACAGTTCTGTCCAAACAGCTTACAAAAGATGATTTTTTTCATCATAGGTGACCTTATGATTAATCAATAAGCTTTCGAAACCTTTTTTTTTTTTTTTTTACCTTATTCATCTGCAGTGTCTTACCATAACTTGCCATCCTTATATCTGCTAACCTAATAGTACGAGTTATGCACACAGATATGAAGGATAAACTGTTGGTCAATCGTCTTTTTTCCATCTTTTATCTTCTTTTGTTGGACTTGTTCTTCTATAGATAGTTTTAATTTGCCATTCATTTATATTTTATGAGTCATTTCAGGTAAGCAATATTTCCAGAACTGAAAACACAGCAGCATTAGCCATAATACACTTTGACATTATTGAAACAAACCATACGCAGCAGTTCACTTTAGTTTATGGATTTGAGTGTTTTATCCAAGCACACTAAAACTATGTTATAGTCTATTAAAACATTACCGCGTTTAAAGTATGTCATTGAAAGGCATATAATTTGTACTTTACAATGTAGAGAATGCAGTACAGGAAACATAAAACTTTTAAAATATTGAATTTTCTTTAAAAAAAACAAACACTCTATAAAAGAATGGATATGTATGCTGCTGAACGTCTGTAACCAGTTGGATTTCATTAAAAAAAAAAATTAATACTTTTATTCGTAGGAATTAAGCTGAATAAAAGAGACAGCAGAAACTGTTGTGCTTAAAAAATATTTTGATCTAAAATAACTGAAATGCTGTTTAATTAATTCATCTTAAGAAGCCTGACTGCTTTTATAATTATAATTGTAATATTTCACAATTTTCTTTCACTTTGTAATTTGCATTTCTATTAAACATTTGTATCCCAATTTGGGATTATTTCTAAATATAATAAAGTAATTTTCTAGCATTGAAATATAACATACATTCTAAAATATATTTTATTAGGGGTAAAATCATGCCAGAAATCTTTTTTTTTTACTTTTAAATATAATATAATATAATATAATATAATATAATATAATATAATATAATATAATATAATATAATATAATATAATATAATACAATACAATACAATATAATATAATATAATATAATATAATATAATATAATACAATATAATATATTATAATATAATATAATATAATATAATATAATATAATACAATATAATATAATATAATATAATATAATATAATACAATACAATATATTATAATATAATATAATATAATATAATATAATACAATATAATATAATATAATATAATATAATATAATATAATATAATATAATATAATATAATATAATACAATATAATATAATACAATATAATATAATATAATACAATATAATATATTATAATATAATATAATATAATATAATATAATATAATATAATATAATATAATATAATATAATATAATATAATATAATACAATATAATATATTATAATATAATATAATATAATATAATATAATATAATATAATACAATATAATATAATATAATATAATATAATATAATATAATATAATATAATATAATATAATACAATATAAAATAATATAATATAATATAATATAATATAATATAATATAATATAATATAATATATCACACAAGTAGCAGTGCGATGTGGTTGCATATTGGCACTGGTGGGAGGCGTCCGTTTGTATCTCACCAGTGACAATATACAGCCACATTGCTACGAGTGTGATATCACATTTATATGACAGTTAGACTGCATAATCGTGTGTAGAAAAAAGAAAATTAAACACGGAGAGTCTCAAAACCCTTTTGTAGGAGGAACTAATTTCTTCTGCCATTCATTCACATCTGCAGCTGACGTCCGAACAGCAGAAACTGTTGCTCATTCACAAACGTCACTTTTGAGTATTTGAATGATTTTCTAGTGTAATGTCTACAGTGATGACAAAACAGGTGATTTTGCTCACATTTTAATATTATAAGGCTGAACGGCATGAAATGCCATCAGTCTAAAGATTTCCCAGTACATCAACAAACAAAAAAGAGAGATCGACTTAGAAAGTCATTTACCTGTTTAATAATAATTTGCTCAGATGTAGTTTGAAGTTATGCTTTTTTAGTCTTTTAAGGGCTTGTGATGCGGTCTCTGTCGCCATCTTGTGGATGAACATCGTCAACCATCTTTGTTCAAAGACAGCCTAAAGGCCGCCGACACGCTCCGTCAAAAAATATAAATATTTACAAATAGACACTATCCTTATAAATAAGCTGCATATTTGCAATCTAAACAACTACATTCTCAACAAAAAAAAAAGCCTCAAAAGTACATTATGTTGCCCAACAGCAACAATATTTGTCAAACTGTAGAGTGTCTCTCTGCTTTTCACTGTATGTGGGCGGAAGCTTGGTGGCAGAATATTGCACGGCTATCAACCAATCAGATTCAAGAACCACACAGAACGTTGTATCAAATATAATATAATTTTTCTAGCATTACACAAACAAACAAACGAACAAACAAATCTGGAAAAAGTATGATAGAATATTTATTTTGTACCATTTTTAATTAAATCATAAAAATCTTTAAAAATACGTTAAAAAATCATTAAAAAAATCTCCACAATAATAATATTGCAAAATATAACATTTAAATAAGAATATTTATTTTCATAATATTTGATTAGCTCAAATCTGCCCATTTTTAATGCCAGTCTATATTTATCTCAGAAAAACACAGTCATTTTCATTTGAACCAATCTCAAGTTTATTATTCATCTACTTTATACAGAATCACATTATGAACACACATCAGGCCTTCCATACAAGCACAGCATTGTGCACTTTCAGTATTGTCCATTAAAATAATAAACCCAAGACTATTGTTTCAGCGTCAGTGCTCCGGGAGAAGAAGGAATGCTGAATGCAAACCACACTGTCCTAAAGTCTTCAGGGGAGTAATGCTATCTCTTATCGAGGAAGGTTTAATGCACTTGGCCATCGGTCAGATAAACACACAGAACAGTCAACGGCTCTGTGGAAACAAGAGGATGAGGGAGTTTATTACGATCCATCTCCTTAATCCACACTGTGCAACACTTCTCCATATACAGAACATTTGCTCATCTGTGAAACGGCAGCCAGGAATATCTTCATCAGTACAGCCAATGAAAGAGAGAAAACTGAGGAATAGTTACATGTGTAACTCCAGTAGGAGCTTGATTAAGCAAGCGCAGATTCCAGAAAATACAATAGAAAAACAACAGAGGAAAAAAAAAAAAAGGCAATGATCGTCAACACAATTACAGGAATGTCTGGGTTTTTTCCTTAGTCTAAAGGAAATACTGTACGTGAGCAATGTATCACACAACAATGGAAATCTCTATGAGAAAAAATAAGTCTTAAACAGATCAACATGCCTGCATGTTACATTACGCCCTAACACACAACCTTTTCATTAGTTATGAACAACATAATAGATACATTTGCATATTAGCAACAATTTACATACACAATAAACAGGGCAAAAGCATTGGCACTGTTCAGGATCGCAAAGTGCTTGCAAGTTTTGAGAACAGCAAAAATAAATGGCATTAAATACGAAAGATTTACAGAATCTGATTAATTACTCAATATTTTGACGTGTATTGAGTGCCTACATGGTAGTACTATTATTCTAATGGAGAAATTTTATATCAATTTTAATATATTAAACCTGTCAGTTGAGGTTAAGCTTGTACACATAACCTATGGTGCCTTAAAACTGGTTTATTTAAGCTATGTGACGTTTCCAGTTAAAAACAAAGTATGCGATATTGCTGAATAAGGGCTCAGAAATCTCAAGAAATAAATCACTCAAAAATGAAAATTTGCTGTTAATTTACTCACAAACATGTAAGTAGAACATTCAGTAGAATTTTATTTAATTTTTTTGATTCCTACAACAAAGGTCAGTGGCTACTTCTGGCAATACATTATAAATAATGTTCATTTTCTTGCACCGAAAACCTTTTGCATCATGAGTCAAGTAATTTATTTTGCCTGTATTATTTGTTTCTTTTTTACTCTCAAAGTGCCCGTAGAAATTGACTTGCATTTTTATCAATCACCAAAGATGACAGTTTCAGTTAACAGTTTTTTTTAAACATAGGTTTTTGAAGAAAGCTTGAAACCTGTAAACATTAATGTCCACAGTGTTTGTTTTTCCTATTAAAGTCAATGGTTTCCGGACAGGTTTCCTGCTTTCTTCAGTTGTCTTATTTTGTGTTTACAGAATAAAGAAATTCACCTCTTATAAAACCACTTGATGAAGAGTAAATAGTGAGTACATTTTCATTCAACTATCCCTTTTCTGAGATTTAGACTATCTCAGTATATTTTACCGAAGAAAAACATTCTCTTAAATAAATTGGTAACATTTTTTATTTTTTGATAAACTATTTCTTTCAAGTTCCATAAAACAGAAAATTGTTTCCATATTTAGATCCAAATAAATGTATATTCTTCAGAATGGTAGCAGTACTCTGCTTGATTTATTTTCGTTGCATCGAGACTACTAATATGTAGTCTTAAGTTAGTTACAGAATCTGACGTTTTCAATTTTCCCTGTTGTGGTTTATCCATCAGTAAAGGGCCACATAAAAGTGTTCCTCCCGGTTCCTCCTCAATATTTACGTATTCAGATGTTCCGTAACTCTCGCTACGGGAAGACATAAATCATAGGTGAGCAAAATGTCAGATCAAATAAAAACAGCCATGGAAAACTGGAATGTGTAATTCTGTAAAAAACCCACAGAGTTGAGAGGAACGCAAGAATAACATTCATCATTCACTGGCCTACGTGAGACCGTTCATGTTACACCAGATGAAAACAAAAATAAACAACACCACCTCCATGTAGAATGCAACTCTAAGTGCTTGTAACAGTGAGAAGATATCAGATTGGCTTGTCATTCTTCACTTGTAAATTTCTCCAGTAAGCTACTGATGCGGTTGGGGAATCGGCTCTGTTTGGAATATATCAGTAGGTTGTTGGTGCCCTCTATTGGTCTCATGCTGAATCGCTTCAGTCCCAGTGCATTTGATGTCGTAACGCACCTCTTTATACTTCTGTGGAGAACAGCATACTCTGACGTTTACTATCCGGAGTTGGGATGGCCTCCAGCTGAAGGAAGTACAGTAATACCTGGACCTACAGAGACAGAGATGGCGATGAAACACCTCAGACTAGCAGATTCAACCAGTACATAAGACGTTTTTTTTTTTTTTTAAAGAGCTTTCAGACTTCTGAAGGCTTGTTGCACAAAATAAGTTGAACAAACTCAGGGTTGCAAAGTAAGCTTTGGGTTGACAAAACCAAAAATACTCAGCCTGGTTAAGATCAGGTTAGATAGTTTGATAGGAATGCTTGATATAAACTTTCTCAAGTTTTAGCCCAGAAAGTGTGACAAGTGCAGCAAACAGACAAAACCACGAAACATGAGAGAGTCAGCAGTTCACTTTTCTGGTGAAGAAATATCATTATATTGAAATATAAGGAAATATGTTTATGCAAATCAATAAACTGATCTTAAGCAGCTAAAAACAGCTTAAAAGTATTAAAGCAAATTTTGAAAAAAGTCAACTCTATAACTAATGTTAATTGATAATTTAATTTTTTTAAATATATAATATAATAACAAAATAAGCTTTACATTAATTTGGACTCAATATGATTTTACTAAGGCTTTAATTTGGAGCAAAACATATTCTGGCATTGAGTATATAGCTTTATTTCAGCATATACTGTAAATGTCATATTTTCACAGATGATTGGTCCAGTTGGGTATCTGATCTCTGAGCCAGAATAAAACTTGCAGGTTTGCCTTGTAGTGTAGAGCCAATCCAACCCATCTTATTGAGCCCTAAAACTTGCTTTGTGCAACAACAGGTCTGTAAAAGTATAAAGTTCTGCTCTATTTGCTCTCAGAATCCAGAAGTTCTGAGTTTCCGGTAAGAACTTTTAATCTAGTGCTGCCTGAAGTCAGAATTTCCACTGGAGGAAACAGCAATATAAACAGTCCGCTGTAAAACTATTTGTTAATTAACAGTTGTCCGTAGCTCATGATGCAGGGGGTGTTTTCTGTTTATTTACAGTATGTTCTCAGATTGCATTATGGAACCTTGATCTTTGCTCCATCAGCATTTGAAAATGTAACTCTACTGTTTAACAGTGACTTTGTTTACATTATTAGTATTCTGAAACAATATAGTAACATATATAGAAATAAATCTGTAAAAATAATGGAAAAATTACTCAAAACCCAATTTTTGTAGTGTAATTTACATGACCAACACTGAAAATATAGTGATTCAAACTTCTAAAAGACAAACACTATTCACTTTGTTAAACATTTCTTCATCAAAAGTAGTTCCAGTCAAGATTTCATTTAACAAATCAATAGCATAAAAACAGAAAACATCTGGAGCACAGAATAAATCTCAAATTCGAGTACTCTGGAGTTACACAGTGTAAGTGTGTTACCTGAGACATAACCTCAAGAGACCAGCTGTCACTCATAGAGATGGGCTGCGTGGGATTGCTTGGTATTTTACTGTCCTTCTCAGAGGGGCGGAGAAGGGTCGGGCCGAACACTGTAGCCAGATTGTGGAAGGACATCTTGTTGACAATCTCGTTCTCAGCCACCCTGAGGACAAAAGAAAGAGCATTTGAATCAACATGTAGGCAAGAAAAATAAAATATAAAAAAAGTAAATAACATTGGCTTAAAAATTGATCACAAAATGTGACATTGTGTGAAAAACATTTAAGTAAACTTGAAATAAATCATTCACATGGTTTCATATATTATAGTTTATATTTGATGTTTTCACCATGAAACATTTCAAATTTGAAACATTTAATTTTTTAATGAACATTGCATTATTTATAATAAACGGAATTATTTCTGAATACCATTATTATTATTATTTTTAAGTGTCCTCAATCTTTAAAAAAATACTTCCCCTCTCTCTTTTACCAACATCTCTGATTACATGTTTACTGGCACAGAGACAGGGTTGATTTGTCAATTATATGACATCCACCAATAGCAACTAACAATGATCCAATCATTTCTGAATGGCAAAAATAAAGAGACATCCCACTTAATTTCCTGTTTGTGAAGCTGTTTTATCATGAAACATGACACAATAGGGAAGAAATAAATTTTCGACTTCCATTCGATGCTGACTTCCACCTTTTGGAGCCATTTCTTTCTTTTATTATTATTATTATGTTTGGATTAAATAGGTTAATTGGATGGTATGATTATTATTATTATTGTTAAGGTTACATTTGATAATTATTGTATTCAGGTCTGAGTATTTGCTTTGTATACTATTCATGTTTGAATATTTGCTTTATTGTATTATGTGGTTGGTTGAGATTATTTTATTCTTTTGACAGCTCTTTGCCTAAAGATTTTCTTTTTTCTTTTGATGTATTGTTTTACGTCATGTTTAGGTCCAATCTGCATATTTTCACTTGTTATTGACATGAACTCATAGAACTACACTGTACCTCTTCAGATGGTCCAGCAGAAACAGGAAGGTCAGCAGGTTGGGTTCAGGAAGGGAGAGCAACAAGTTGAGCATGCAGCTTTCCTTTGCCACGCTGTCTGACAAAGCTGAAGGAAATGAAAAACGCAAGAATAAATGATCAACACAAATGGGTTTAAATAAACAGTTTTTCATCAGATCTTGAAAAAGAGTCCACTGACCGATGCCTTCAGTGAAGTTAATGTAGAGTTCATCAGTGAAGAGGGGCTCGGGAAGCTCTCTGAAATAAAGCTTCAGTGTTCCAGCAATGGCATTCACGTCCATCTCACTCATAATAACTGAAACATCTTTGTTGTCTGTGAAATCATAAGAACACTTATTTTTAGCATTACAGAATATTCAGTGATGACCAAAGGTAGAGAACAACCTTGAATTTCTTAGAATTTGTGGCCGCTGCTATTATAGTCTTATTTGAAGTTGTGCTATTAGGAGCAAAAGAGCAGTTTTTAAGCATATTTCATGCATTATATCTATTCTGAAATACAGCATAAACATTATTCGGTGAGATATTTGAAAAAGAACGCTGATTAAAAATAGAGGCTGTGTCCAAAATCGCCTACTACTCAGTAGGTACTGCATTTGAATTAAAATGTACTACTCGGATGGTTGGGTTTAGGGTTGTGGTGGGAGCAGGCGCTAAAAAATACAATTTATTGGGTAATTTAATAGATATCATAAATAATACTCGGTACAGCTACTGTTTTTACGTTACTGTGACGGCTGGGTTTAGGGTTGGGGTGGGTGTAGACGTTAATAAAATACAATAAATGGGAAATTTAATAAATAATAGAAACAACCCTGTTCTTTGAATTCTATGAATTAGGACATACTACTCTACTCGCATCCTGTTTTTAGTGTACTTTATAGTGTGGAAGTATGCGTTTACAGACGCAGCTCGTAGACACTTTCAGATTCATCACACAATTATTGGTGGTAATCTGCACCTAGTGGTCATTTCCTTAATTAACCAACAAATCCTATTTAAAGGAATAGTTCACTCAAAAATGAAAATTATCCCATAATTTACTCACACAGTCAGAATAATTTTAAATATTATCATGGCTCCTTCATGCTGAATAATGGTGTTGGGGTAGTGGCCCTTTTATAAAGCTTCCGAAAGCGTATAAATCATTCATAAATATAACCCATATGCATTCAGGGGGTTAATGTATGTCTTTTGAAGAGAATTTATGTGTTTTTTGGAACAAAGTATTTCTAATATTTAAAATATTTTTAAATTATCAACTCAAACCACTAACTTCTTGCTTTTACCCTAACCCTTATTGTATAAAGTACAGTTATCCTCATCCATCAACTCTCACACAAGCTTCCGATATGAATGAGTCATACGTCGAGTCAGAGGTCAACCAAGAAGTTGTCTAGAACATGCATTTGGCAGCCTCCAGAAGTCAGTGGCACATGGGCTAAGTTAAAAAAAAATGGCCACAACCAAACATCAATATAAATTGAAGAACCAGCTTAAATTAAAACTACTCCAAAGGAATTTGTCTGAAATAAGAAAGTCATATGTACTAATAATGAAAAAAACTTTTTTATTATTAAGGTTATTTAAATGTAATTTGATTATAATCAACCATATATAAATAATATACAATGTCAAAATATAAAATGAAGACAATACCCAATTTAAACTTTGGCACTGGTGACTTTGAAGAATGTAATGAGCTCATTTAAACAACTTCTTAAAAACTATCAGTAGTTTTGATGTGTAAATTCCCCTTTTCTCTATATCTGTCAGCAAGCATATAGTCTCTATAGGAGTTTCCTGAGCTCGCTGATGCCTCCAATAGAGATAAGATAAAAAGACTGCGCAATCAGCTGAAATGTTAGTGAGCTTCATTTGCATGTAAATAAGATGGGTGATATATATTGCATCATGTTCATGTATTGCACAATAAGTCAATATATTGAGTATTGCATAAGACCTACATAAGATACAGAAATAAATATCCAATATAATCTGATGTTTATTGTTGTAAAAAATCCTACTCACTGGCATCAAATGCAGCTTTCAGGGCCTGGATGTCTGTGGCCACACCAGAGACCCGATAGATGCCCACTTCCTCCATCCCTCTGCGCTCGATCTCCTCCACACACTGTCTCACAATCAGAGGCACTTTGGAGTGTTCGCGTCTGAACAAACACACACACACACACACACACGAATATACATTTCAGCTGATCTGTGCTTATTTTTTCAGGATTAAAGCTGTAAATTCCATGACCACAGAGGATTATGGGGAAATGCTATACTGTATATATAACAGAAGCTTTCCGCTAAATGTATTTCCCATGGAAAAGGAAAAAAAAAGGTGTTTGCTATCATTTAAGGAAATCTTTTCCTGGCACATTTCTGGGGCGTTCAAAGAAACAGCATATTCTGAGAGCTTGTTTATTTATTCACTAGGACTTTGCGGTATTAACATTCTCACAGTCTATATTTAAACTCACATCTGCATTATACTGACGCAGCACTCCAATATCCACAAAATCAACACCATAATGAGACCACCTGAGAAAATGAACATTTTGCGCAGCGTAAATCCCTCCCAAAACTGTCAGATTTTAAGAAAACAACAACTGTTATTACAGGGCAATATTTCGCCCATATGCGTTTCTGTTAAACTCTTAAAAATTCATATCTGAGAGTCTAATTCCTACATCCACATTTCTGTTTTTATTTCAGTCCTTTGAGGGAAGCCTTTTGCAAAACCCTTTTGCCTTTAATAATAATTCCTTCCTGTTTGTCAGGAAGTCCATAATGGGGTTTCTCTCTGTTTTCCTTTTTTGCTTTGAACTGACGGAGGCCATTATTAAAAGGAAGTTTCCCCTCCTTCTATTTTATGAGCCCTCATTTGAGTCATGTGGGTCTATAAAAACACAGGCTCCCTGTGTCCTCTAAATTATGGGAAACATGGCTGACATCTGACTGCTGTTGTTTTTGGAGTGAGTGGGAAGAATTTAATACTCAATCACCATTGACTGTTACAATGCAACAAACGTTTATGAATCCTTAAAGGCACACTCACTAGTTTAATTGATAGTCAAGTTAGACTTACAATGACATTTGTTGGTATAAATACAACATTACTTCAAAACAGGTTCCATCATTTAAGTATATAAAAATAGGAGGTTACAGAGTAAAAATATGTAGTTTTCGGCAGGACATGTAATCTCAACATGCTTATGTGACTCAAAAAGTCTATGAGTAGAATTTTTGTGGACGCATTTTAAAGTGGCCATTATGTTACTTGATGCTTGAATTAACCAGGAGACTGAAGTCTTCAGATCAGAATTCTTCGAACTATTAAAAAGTTATTTATTTGTAACCACTAAGAATTATTATCATTTTTAGTCGCTTTGGATAAAAGTGCCTGTTAAATGAATGTATATATTTATCAATTCTTATTTACTAACTTGTTCATTTTCGTGAGATATTTAAACACATGCAGAATGAACTATTTAAGGGTGCTTTTTACACCTACACTTTTGTTTAGGAACCTGTCTCGTTTGCCCAGTTAGAGCTGTTCAGTTGGCATATGTGAATCCAGCAATCACGCTAGGATCCGCGCCAAATCAATCGCTCTGAGATCGCTTGAATGAGATGGCCTCGGCTCGATTGAAACGAATTCTGGAGCGGATTGATTGCAGTGAGAAATCGATATGATCTGAGCACGGTTATTACACAGTGTTTTATGGATATGTAATAGGCATACGGCTATATGAAGAGAGAATTATGAGTAGGACGGGAAGTTTCGGGAGTCTCCCAGATGCTTTTTAAACAGGTTTTTACATGTGATGAAAATAAATAAATTTTTTGTGAGCTTATTATAACTGTTATCGCGTGTCATTCGTTCAGTTGTCTTAATAAATTTAAAGGTGACATTGTTTGAGATGTTCTTGTTATGAAAATTGACATAAAATGTATCACAGTCTGTCTTTGTCTAAGAAATTATTCATATTTCAATTTGAGCAAAAATCCACTTGCACTAGTACTGTGTATAGCGCATTTAAATCAGTCATATATGGATTGATCTGTAACTTTACTTACTTAGTGACGGCCCCGATTTTGACTCCAAACACTCCAGACTGTTTTCTGGAGGGCATCCGCTTCAGACTGAACTCTCTGCTGGTAAATCGCATAGACAGCTTGACCTCAATCTGGAAAGAGTGATGAATATGCACAAGTTTTTTTTCCACAAAAACACTCACTGATGAGAACAAAACAGCTCTGTACTCAATCTCACCTATCAAATAATCAAGAATTAAATCAATGTAAGCTTCGTCCATCAGCTTAATATCAAGCCACATGAATTTAATCCATCGGTGTGCTTCATATTATGGGAGACAAATAATTGTTAACTAATGATTGGAGGATGTTAATGGATTCATGTACTGATGGAGGTATATGACATATTTTAAGAACTTATGTCTATATTTTCACACCTGATATGTCACTTTTATATATTTTAAACGATCATAAATATTTTCACATTATTATGAAAGACTAATTTAATAAATATGCTAAATTTATTAGTCTTGGAAAATAAATGTATTACTGTCTACACAAAAAATATGAACCAGCACAACTGTTTTCAATTGATAATCCGGCTATATTCCTAAGCACCAAATGAATAGGTTATTTTCACCTTTACTAAAGGATTATGTCGCACTGAAGACTGTGATAATTATGCTTAAAATGGACAAATAATTATAGTTTAAGATATATCCAAATAGAAAACACTTATTTTGAATTATAGTACCAGAGTACGCCTGCTATTTTTGATGAAACAAATAAAAGCTTAAGTTTAAAACAAACCCTATAAATACATGAATTCATTCATGCATAAATATTTTTCAAACATTTCTACAAGCAAGTACTTGAGCACATAAATATCTGGACAGAAAATAGTGATTTAGTTTAGTTATTATTTTGACAGACTACATCTTTTAAAACATAGACAGCTTTAGGAAAAGAAATACCTACAAATCTTAAATATCTTACTCAACTCGAACAAATATCATACATGTACAGGTACTTACATGTTAGGGGTGTGTATTTATCATCGCAATCTCATGGCAGTTCATAACTGTTTGATTTAGTTTGATAATTTGATAATTGTTAATAAATAAACTGTTTGATAATTGTATGATCTAATTCGCACAATTTAGTATGATAGTTTTAAAATCGTAAATTTTCATACAACCAAACTCATAGGAATTAGCCACTTAACTGACAAAACGTAAAATACTGATCTTTTCTCGACAGATCAGGCTGGTATTTATAGTCTAAGACAATATCATTATTGTCTTATTTAACAAAAACAAAAGAAGATATTTTGAAGAATGTTGGAAACAACAGCCATTGACTTCTACCATGAGATATGTAGTCAATGGTTACTTGCTTCTAGCATTCTCCAAAATATATATTTTTTGTGTTCAACAGAAAAAAGGAAACCCATAAATGTCTGAAACTACTTGAGGCTGAATAAATAATTTTCATTTTTTTGGCTGAACTATCCCTTTAATATAATTATTGCTCCATGACAGGCCTATACCAGCCAAAATACCAGCACACCATCCTAATTGAATGTAAATGGCCTTTTGAACATTAACGTGATTGCTCCTATTATTAGTAAATGTGTTATTATTGTGCAGGATGAGCCACACTGACCCCATTCATGCTGATTACTGTCCTCTGCCAGTCTTTACCCTGCAGCGACTGCGGATCCAGCTGTGAAAACAGGGACAAATGTCAATCAAGAGGATAATCCTTATCTGAGCGTGACCCAAACACACAGTCACCTGCTAAAAACGGCTTAGTCGACATGCTTGTTGGAAGCATCTACATTTCTCTCTCTCTCTCTCTCTCTCTCAAAAAGAAAGAAACAAACAAACAAACAAACAAAAAAATCAGAGCCAGAACATAAGATAGCCACCCATGCCATCTCAAATACTACTGTAAAGTGTATTACACTGTACATACAGTTGAAGTCGTCCTGGGTTATTAGCCCCCTGTATATTTAATTCCCCAATTTCTGTTTAATGAAGAGACTTTTTTCAACACACTTTACTTTAAGGAAGAAGTCTTTTAGGTCAATAAAATATTAATTTGTTGATTAGCATTTATTAAGATTGGGTTCGGTATTCAGTAGGATTAGGGATGTACAATAAGACCATACTCTATAAGTACTAAACATCTAATAACTTAATATAAAGCAAGTAGTAAGTCAGTAGTTAATAGTGGGAATTGGCGCTTTAACTAATAATAATAATTCATTTTATTTCAAGGCGCCTTTCTAGCAACTCAAGGACACCGTACAATCAAGAAGATCAATAAAACAACAAGAGAAAAAATAAAATATACACAGCAATAGTGCAGACAAAATTAAGTATTAAAAGCCATCTTAAATAAGTGGGTTTTGAGTTTTATTTTGAATAGTGTGAGGGAGTCAGTGTTTCTGACGGCAGGTGGTAGTGAGTTCCAAAGCCACGGAGCAGAGCGGTTAAATGCTCTGTTGTCCATAGTGGAAAGACGAGAAGAGAACAGACAATTGGAGGGAGGAAGAAGATTGCAGGGTGCAAGAAGGAATAGAAATGTGGATGAGGGCAGACAAAAATAGAGGGGCGAGATTGTGGATGGCTTTGAATGTTAACATCAAGATTTTTAAGTCAATTTGAAAATGAACATGTATCCAATGAAGCTGCTGCAGGACAGGGGTGATGTGATGAGAAGAAGGGGTTCTGGTGATGATACGGGCAGCTGAGTTCTGGACCAACTGAAGCTTACGGAGGGATTTATGAGTGAGACCAAAGAGAAGAGAGTTGCAGTAATCTAAATAAGATGTGACAATGCTATGAACGAGAACAGCAGTGGCATAAAGGGTAAGAGAAGGGCGGAGACGGTTAATGTTGCATGGTGAAGTAAGCAGACCGGTTGATGTTATTGATGTGAGAATCAAAAGATAGGGTGCTGTCAAGGATGACACGCAGACTTATAACCTGTTTAGAGGGATAAATGGAGCAGTCGTCAATTGAAAGAGAAAAGCTGTCAGTTTTGGAGAGTGTTGTTCAAAAACCTCAGTTTTTGAACTATTTAGTTTGAGGAAGTTAAGAGAGAGCCAGGACTTGATTTCTGCTAAGCAGACTGTAAGGGAGGTGGAAAACAAGAAGAGGGTTCTCCACATACATTGTTTTTGAACTATGTGACCACTGTAATAAATACTTAAGCACACTTAATTTTTACTAATTGTTTACTAATGTGTAGCAATACTAATTGTTACTTTACTTAAAAGTATAATACATATAGTTGTAAAAAACAGGGTTGGGTTGTTTCAATTACTTCAATTGCATTACCAGCAAATATAGGATTAACACAACAGATTAATTCAAGTATTTTACTAAAGTAAAAAAAAAGTATGGATCAAAAACACTAGTTTTCATACACTGTAAAACCTAACAGTCAAAATCACAAAAGTTAGTTTAACTTGTATACTTTTTTAAAGATTACATTGACTTAATGAAAAAAAGTTATCGCAACTCATGAATGGATCATTTAAGCAGAACTTAAAACGAATGAGTCATGAATTAATTAATTATATTTTTCAATCAGTTTCCTCAAACAGTTTGCGTAAACTTATCGGATTTTGCAGTGTAGTATTTGATATAAATTACTATAATTTTTTCATGAAAGGACAGTGATTGAACAGTAGGGATCAATTTACAATACACTTTCAACTTTTACAAACAAAGGCAAAGATGCAGAACCTAATATTATGAATCAAACGTTTCCCTTCTACATGTCAATTTGTAGTTTTATGTCCAGCCGCTTGTTGGTCTCAAACCAGTGATTGATTCGGTTGTAATATTGTAGTAATTCTATGCTGTCAGTTTGTATTTATTGTGGGCAGCTACGGGTGTTGTGAAAACATAATTTACCAGCTTGCAGCCAAAGAAAAGATCTGCATTGATTGGTTGGTTTAACTGGTGCCAAAAAATTATTTATCTCATTTAAGGCAACTGGTTTAGTAGAACACAGATGAATAACAGCAGCAATCAATATTAAAGGGATAGTTCACCCCAAGATGAAAATCCTGTCATTATTTACTCATCCACAACTTGTCCAGAACCTGTTTGAGTTTTGTTCTTCTTTTAAACACAAAGAAAGACATACTGAAGAATGTTTGGGGGAAAATCAGCCATTGATTTCTACATAATTTTTGTTCCCCCAAATGACTGCATTTTTCTTCAGAATATCTTGTTTTTGTGTTCGACAGAAGAAAGAAATTTGTAAAAGATTAGAACTAGCTGAGTTTGAAATTATGAGAAAATTAAATTTTTTTAATGAAGTATCCCTTTAATTCTGAACTGTGATGATCGGAAGAGATGTGCAGTAGAGAAGAGTCTTTGTTGTTTTAGGTAGGATGTGTCAAGGTAGAAACTCAGTATAATAAAGATAAAATAAATCAGAACTGGAAGCAAGCAATACAGTAGCCTACATAAACCCCATTACATTGCACAGCATAAACTGAATGTTTCTAAGTATTAAAACTCATTAGTACACTACTCCCAAAAGTTTATTGTCAGTAAGATATTTATGGAAAGAAATTATATGATTGATTAAATTACTACTATTTAGTGATAGTGAAGATATTGTAATGTTACAAATTATTTCTACTTCAAAGTTAGTTTGAACCTTATATTCAAAGAACTGTTAAAAGAACACAACATAAAATATTAGGCATTATAACTGTTTTCAACATTGTTTCAGCATATTAGAATGATTTACAATAAAGACTGAAAAGTCCAAATTTGTTCACACAGGAAAAAAATAATTTAAAATATAGCAAATCTCTTTAAATATACATATATTATTATTTACTTTTACAATTTATTTATTATTTAGATAAACTATTATTATTTAAATTTATATTATAGCGTTTTTATTAAACCAATATCTGATAACTACCAAAAACAAAATCCTAATCTCAGGGAATAAATCATTTGAATAACAGAAAGTACTGATAGCTTATTACCACAATTTACCCAAATAATCTACTGTTCCAAATGACTAAAATATCAACAAATGTTACTCTGTTAAACCACAGAGTTAAACTGAACTTTTACAACATGCCATACACTATAAAAACCAAACGTTATCAAACGAAATGAGTGTAGTTAACTCAAAGTTGACTGAAAGTTAATTCTGCTCATTTGAAAAGAGTTTTGAACTCAGTGTTGAGGTTTTGAGTTAATTAAATAACTCATTACTTCAACTTAAATGGAGTAAGTTCACAGTACTCATATATAGTATTTTTTTTTACTTAAATGGTTTGTTGCAATCGGTTTACTAAAGCGGTTTGAGTTACCTTAACTTATTGGGTTTTACAGTACTCAGTTAGTTTGAGTTATCTTCATTTATTTGATTTTACTGTGCTCAAATTGCTTCATTTGCTCAAATGGATTAAGTTCACACTACTCATTAGGATTAGTTTTTAAAGCTTAAATGGTCTGTTGCAATCGTTTTTCTCAAACGGTTTGAATTACTGGGTTTTACAGTGTAACAAAATTTTTAAAAAGTAAATAAACAGAAGACACTCATGAAACATCAGTTACAGATAATTGCATAAAACTGTTAATCAACATATACATTTTTACAGTGTAAATAATAGCTCTCTACAAATATTGTTACAAAGATATTAGTGCTGGGCAAAAATTAACAGCATTTAATCACAACCAAAGTAAAAATTTGTTTTGACATAATATATGTGTGTGTGCTATGTATATTTATTATGTACGTATAAATACACACATGCTTACATATATTTGAGAAAATGTTTATTCAAATTCAGATATAAAATATATGAAACAAATGATACGTACATTTTAAAATATATGTAACAAAACTGTTTTGTATAGTTTTGTTTTTATGTGTGTGTGTTTCACATATACTTAATAAATCTATATAATACACACACATACTGTATATTATGTCAAAACTAACTTTTATTTTGGATGCGATTAATCTTTGCCCATCATAAAAGATATATAAAGAATTTAGAATTCTAAATTATACTTTAAGGCAACTTTACTCCTTGCTGCCCCCTGGAGGTCCACAACTTGCTACGCACCATTGTATTTCTTGCTTCATTTACATAGACATGACAATTCAAGTGTTATCAGACAATATCGCCATTACAACTTATTTATTACCACCGCAAAGCAAACAAACAAGTCTCAATTCCTAACCAGCCAGCTTTACAATACCGCAGTTAATGACTTGAGCTTCTCTTACGCACACACACAAGGAGTTTACCTTCTGCCTGAGAAGTGTGTTTCGAACTCTACCCCAAAGTCGAGCCCCGGTGCTGGAAGACCTCCTGAGGCCAACATCCACCTCCACCTCCTCCTCCTCATCCTCCACCGAGCAGCTGCTATTCAACTCTTCCTTCATCAGTTTAGCGCTCGCAGCCTTTACCCTACCATCCTGCTCCTCAGCGGTCCCCGTCTGCTCTTTCTTACCCATTTCCCTCTAGAGTCTCTACTGTTGTTAACCTCTTCGTTTACAGAAGCTAATTCAGATCCTCCAGCACAGAGTCATCCTGCGTGTATGTGTGTGTTTGGAGGAACTGCTGCTGTCATGCTGAATCTATTGTTGTGAATGTGTTCTCTCATTTATTCTTGAGTACACGCACACACACACACAAACACACAAAGGCACGCACAGATGGAGTGCTGGGATTAACTAGTGAATCTCCACCCACAATGATGATTACAGGCCGTTGTGGCAGCTGACCGACCAACACTGTGTTCAAGATTGTTTCAATGTTTCCGTTCGTCGTTTTCTGGTTATCGGCAATGACTTGTGGCACTTTCGAAGTTTTTATGTTCTACAATGGCCTAATATTGGCACCCTTGGTAAATTTGATTGAAAAAAAAATGGTTTAACCTTCTGACCTTTTGCTCAAAATATTAACAAACAACAACTCTGCTCTCATTGAGAACAAACAACTGCAAACACAGCACAGTATTATAACTTATCAAATATGAAGAGTTCAGGTGCAAAAACAGTGCAGAGTCTGAAATCTTCTTCTCAAATGAGAATGTTTCTCAGCCTACCATGTTTTTATGTTCAGTAATTTCACTTTAAAAGGAATGAAAATAACTCATTCTTTTTTTACTAAAGTAAAAAGTACAAAAATGCTTGAAATGGCAGACATGGTGAAAGACTTTCCACATTTTCTGAGAGGGTGCTCGCTGCAGAGCCATTTGAGGAGAGCTGAGCTCCAGCGAGGGGGAGCATGAGCTGTCGCTCCTCCTCCTTTAAGCTGTTTTAATGCGTACACCAACCCCACCCCTAACCCTACCCCTAGTGACATCACTCGTAGAAGAAGTGCAAAAAAGGTGGAGCTCAAGCTTAAGCTCCCCCTCGCTGGAGCTCACCTCTCCTCAAATGGCTCTGCAGCGAGCACCACTTGCATTTTCTTTGAAACTTTCGTTACAAGAACAAAAAAAAATAGTAAAAATGAATAAATAACAGAATAATGATAAATAAATATTGGAACTTAATAATAATAATAAAAACAACAGTAAAATAATTTATTCTTTGACATAAAAGTGAAACAACTGAGCCTACACACAGGAACCTGAAAACTGCTCATTTGAGATGGTACTTTCAGACGGAGGTTTTTGCATCTGAACTCTTCAAATATCTTTATTAAAAGGATAGTTTACCCACTAATGAAAATTTACTCACCCTTCACTTGATCAAAGTGTATTTGAGTTTATTTCCTCTATTAAACACACAAAAATAATTTGAAGAATGCTGGTAGCTGGCACCCATTGACTTCCATAATATATAGTTATATAACTATATATAACTAATATATAGTTCTTAGGGTTTAGGGTTTTCTTCACGAGTGAGGGAAGGCTGAAACGTGAGATTGACAGGCAGATTGGTGCAGCGGCAGCAGTAATGTGGTGGATGTACCAGTCCGTTGTGGTAATGAAGGAGCTGAGCCGAAAATCAAAGCTCTCAATTTACCAGTCAATCTATGTTCCTAATCTCACCAATGGTCATGATTGAAAGGACAAAATCTCAGATACAAGCGGACGAAATGAGTTTCCTTTAAGGGTGGCAGGGCGCACTCTTATAGATATGGTGAGGAGCTCTGTCACCTGGGATAAGCTCGGAGTAGAACAGCTGCTCCTCGTCATCAAGACAGGTCAGCTGAGGTGGCTCGGCATCTGTTCTGGATGCCTCCTAGACGCCTACCTAGGGAGGTATTCCAGGGATGTTCCACCGGGAGGAGGCCTCGGGGAAGACCCAGGCCACGCTGGAGGGACTATGTCTCTCTGCTGGCCTGGGAATGCCTCGGGATCCCCTCGGAGGTGGAAGAAGTGTCTGGGGAGAGGGAAGTCTGGGGTTCTCTCCTAAGACTGCTGCCCCCGCTACCCGGCCCAAGATAAGAGGACGAAAATGAAATGAGATGAATATATATATTTTTCCTTCTATAGAAGTCGATGGGTTCTGGCAACCAGCATTCTTCAAAACATCTTCTATTGTGTTCATCAGAAGAAAGAAACTCATAAAGATTTAATATGTAAGAATAAATGGTGAGGTAATTTTCATTTTTGGTTGAACTTTTCATTTAAATACAGTATTTGAGTGCTGCAATTATTAGCACTACCATGAATTTATGTTTATAAGTCTATTCCCATTTATACTTTTAGTACACCTGGGTGAATTTGAACAGGCAGTTGAACACAATCTCACAGAAATTCACAACTTTTTGATTTAGTGGCTACATTTGTACAATCTCATTCGTACTATTTAGAATGATTTGCAGATTCCTCAGTGAGGAGTAGGGTTATAGGGGTGTAATTTGGGGGTTTGCCTCCTTTTAAAAATCATATCTTTTCATACAAATCAAAACTTTTTATACGTATGAATGATAGCCTTTTTTGTTTCCCAATATGTAAAATAGTTATGTTTTCTTGTGAGATTAGGGTGAGATATGGGAAACTGTGACTGTAAAACTCAGTTATCACAAGAAAATGCAAAAATATTGAAAATGTAAATTTCCACCATCAGGGCAATAATCAAGAAATCCCAGTGATCTGCAAGTGTTAGAATAATTCTGAAAGAGGACATGTGTGCATGTTGTTCAAATGCCACTTTCAGGATAATAGTTCCAGTGACCAAAAAAAAAAAAAAAAATTCCTGGAAAATCAGTTGTAGGATTGGAGTTAATTTGATCTTAGGGACAGAAAGTCTCCAGAACTAAAATATGACATCCCCTACACCTGTGTTTCTCAACCACGCTCCTGGAGGACCACCAACACTGGATGTTTTTAATGTCTCCTTTGTCTGTCACACCCATTACAGGTCTTTCAGTCTCTGCAAATGAGCTGATGATCTAAATCAGGTGAGTTTAGTTTAGAGACACAGAAAACATGCAGAGCTGGTGGTCCTCCAGGAACGTGGTTGAGAAACACTCCATTACACAGTCACAAACTCTTTCAATGGGCTTCAAGAAAAAAATCATCTCATCCCCCCAAAAACTCAAGCATCTTCAGTTATTTTTGCTAGTATTTTGAGCAAAAGATAAAAAGGTTAAACAAACAAGCAAAGCTCATATCTCCTGTATCCTGGACATTTAAGACTAAACAAATGAGATCCATCCAGCCACAAAGAGTGATTATATACAGTTGTTGTGACAACAAAATGGTCATGTGAACAATCCAAGAGCTTTTTACTGGCTGATTGCAGGCTCTGACTCCTCCTTTCTGTAATTTGGCACCTGCCCTGTTCAGGACTCTGTCAGCGTGTCCCAGTTTCTGTCCAAACAGCGGCTCTAATCCTCTCGCAGCTCAACACCTCAGCGTTTCTCTGGTCACTCCACCACACCAATGCATATGACAGGATTATCATCTACCTGAACAATTTAGCGGCTTTGTTCTGCTCACTGCATTAGGCATTAAAAAGGTAAATGCTTAGTCACTATGTGTAAGCAGATTATAGGCTACCTTGTTTTACCCCAGGACACATGAGTAATTGATGAAATTGTACATGAAAATGATTAGTGACTATTTCTGATGAATTCATTATTGATTACTATCCATTAATGCGTTGGGAAATTGTGTCTGTTTAAATTTGATATGTAATTACATGTAATATATATATTTTAAATATTTAGTTTCATTGTTTAATTAACTTTTTATCTATTGCATTTTACCCAGGGATTTATGGCCAATTGATAGCGAAAACAATCCATGATTACACAGTTTTTAATTAATTAACTTTTAACTTTAATACTTTAAAAATACTAAATAAAAAAAAATATTATAACATTTTAATTGAATTGAATTATTGAATTATTTAATTTAATTGAATCTTTCTGTGTTAAAATATAAACAAAACACTATGAAGTTTTTTTTATTATTATTTATTTTTAGTTTTTTACCCTGGGATGTACGGTCTGACTTAATAAAATTCATTCAACTTAATAAAAAACATTCAAAACAAAAATGAATGTAAAAATTTCCTTATTAATAGCATGCAATAGATTAATCTAGAGAGAAGTGAGTTTATGTAAGTTAATATTAATATTTAATATGTCAGTTAAAATTTAACTTGTCAGTTATTAATAAAGTTAAATAATTAATAGTAATTAATTACATTTTGTTACAATTTGTTTTTTAATAAATGTGCAGCTCTACTCAAGCACTAAAAACGTAGAGTGAAAGTAATTCTGATAAAGTCCAAACTGAAAAAGCCGTACCTGAATCTGCCCCTTGGCCATGACGCGATCAATGTTTTCGCCATCATCCCTGCACTGTTTGATTTTACTATAACACAGCAGTCTGAGGGTCTGTGAGCCCTCCAGCTCGATCTCAAACTCCTGTCAACACAAAATTCAACCTTCATTCAATCACAGCATTCAACCAGCATTACATCCGTTTGCATATTTACAGCTGCATTTCTAGTGTCAATTCGTGGCACAAAGTGGAACTGCACCATACTGAGATAAACATTACTGTGTGTGTTTTTATTAACATTCATTGTAGACAACTGTGTGGTTGTGGGCGGTTTATATTTCTGACCTCGTTCCAGTTTGGCTCTGTAGTGTCTCTGTAAACACGAGTCTTTGCCTTGTTCACAAAGTAGCCGAACGAGTCCACCTCCAATGTACAGTACAGATCTGAGGTCAGGGAGAGAACAGACAACATTGTGGTTACATGTTAAATTTTGTACAAATATTACACTAAACACTTTTTCTAATTAAAACATATCCCATGATACATGTCATGAGCAATCACACGAGTAGCCGTGCGATGTGGCTGTCGGCACTGGTGGAGGGAGCTGTAGTTTGAAATTATGCTGTTTTCTTCTTAGGGCTTATAATGCTGTCTTTTTCGCCATCTTGTGGAGGAACATCGTCAACTGTCTTTGCTCAAAGACAGGGGCTGCGTCTGAAACCGCCCACTACTCAGAAGGTACTGCATTTGAATTTAAACGTACTACTCGGCCGTTAGAAAAGTACATTCTATACAGTATGAATGCGAAAAGTATGAATGGAATTCAGATGTACTTCATTCGCTGTTTTGTCATGGTCATGTAACCTACCTGCGTCAATTGCATCGCTTCACTTCCATTAATGAATTCTCTCGCGGGGCATTATGCGATAGCGCAGCGTGCATGGGATGGGCACTACAGAATCTCGTCGGAAGTAGTAAGTCATCCGGGTACTTCTCGCATACTGATTTTTGAATTCTATGAATTCGGACATACTACTCGGCTCGCATACTGATTTTAGCGTACTATATAGTATGGAAGTATGCGGTTTCGGACGCAGTCAGGCTCTCAGAAATTATAAATATTTCAAAATAGGCACTACCCTACATTCTCAACTAAAAAGCCTCAAAAGTACATGTTGACCAACAGCTGCAATATTTGTCAAACTGTAGTGTCCTCTGCTTGTCGCTGTATGTGGGTGGAGTAATACACAAAGGTGATGGGTTAAGAGGCTGGACGAGTGATGTTACTGGCAGAATATCGCACCGCAATCAGCCAATCAGATTCAAGATCCACACAGAACTATTGAGTAATCTTGGATATAGACCTTTTTCTTGGCTGCTACATGGAGGGCGCCATAGCGACCAGCGTTTGCCAGTAGAATGGTTAGGTAATTTGCACTCTGTTCAATAGCGTTTTTAACGGTTTACAGAGTGTTTTTGTGACACGCAACTTAGAAAGGTGAATGTTATAGCCGTTATAGTCTGTCAGATGTGGTTCAAGCGCGAGAGAAAAACTTTCTCCTAGTTCCTGTGTCTGCCGTCAGAAATACAGTGTGTGTGTATGTTTCTCTGGCCTGTCAGCTGTTAGCTCAGCGGCTCTTCAACAAACACAGGTACTCAAGCAATGCAATTTACAAAAATGACCAATAAAAGTCTGTTATTGATACTTTGCTGGCTGCTTTGCTGTTCATACTAATCACTAGCCGTTTGTGTTTTATTTAGTGTGCTTTTACCACAGTTTGTGTTTTTTTGTCATTTCAAAATGACACTAGCCTTTATTTTCACTTTGTCACAGTTATTAAATCAGTGTGTCAGTGGCACAGTACAGGCTATGTGTGTGTCAAACATTTTGGTGAACTACATTTGTTTGGGTTGGTTGGTTATATACTTGAAAGAAAGAGAAACTTTCAAATATGTTTTACGCAGTGAATGCCCTTCCAGCCACAAATCCTACTGAAAAACACCCATACACTCCCACATTCACACACACACATAAGTTCATCCAATTCTCCTATACCGCATGTCTTTAGACTGTGGGGGAAACCGGAGAACCCAGAGGAAACCTACACGAACATAGGGAGAACATGCAAACTCCACACAGAAATACCAACCGACCCAGCTGGGACTCGAACCAGTAACCTTCTTGCTTTGAGGTGACAGTGCTAATTACTGAGCCATCATAGCACCTCTTAAAGAAAATGTTTATATTGGAATTGCATTAATAAATATAGTTTATTCCTGTGAGGGTAAAACTGAATATCATCACTCCTGATTTTAATGTCATTATTTTTATTTGTTTTAAATCACATTATTTATTGGTATAATTGATGAAAACGGTGAGCTGCTCAATGTTTTTATGGGAACTGTAATACATTTTTCAGTCCCTCCAGGATTTTTCAAGTCCAATGGTTCTTGAGACAAGAAGAAATAAATTTAACAGGATGTTTTCATAGCAAAATACAATAATTGATAAGTTAACAAGTAAAGCAAATAAGCAAATAAATCATTTAGGAGCGTTTATGACTTTTGATCAATTTAATACATTAATAAAAACATCTTCACAAACTTTAAAAAAGCATTTTTTATAATCTAATTCTCAGAATTAAAAAATATTCCATCGTGTTATGCTGGAATATTTAACAAATATGAGTTTTAAATCATGCTTTTCTTACTTAGATTTTTTTTGTCTTGTTTCTAGTCCAAATATCTAAAAATGGATTAAGTCAAGAGCATTTTCAATTTTTCTTAAATATTTTCTTCTTTTAAGAAATAATATGCTAAACTTGAGTGAATTTTTCCTTAAAACAAGCAAAAAATCTGCCACTGATTAGGTAAAATAATCTTATGCCAAAATGAAAAACAAGATTATTTTTCTTACCCTGTTGGCAGATTATTTTGTTTGTTTAAAAAAAAAACTCGCTTCATTTATAATTTATTAAGCAAATTATAAATAATAATTATTTATTTAAACAATACAATATTTTTTGCTTGTCTAGAAAAATAACTTGTAGATATTTGCACTAGAAAAAAAGACAAAAACTCTAAGTATGAAATCATTTTTGCAGTGATAAGAAGACACTTCGCTGTGGTAAATCACTATAACACAGCCTTTCATGTCTTCATTCTTTAATGAATGGCTGTACATGAAGCACTCATAACAATTAAATAATTAACATCAATTCTTTGAATCGTATAACATTGCATTGACACTACAGTACAGTATATAGTCAAATCCCTCAACTCTACTTTCCATTAAGGCAGATTTTATTGACGACAAAGACTATAAGAAGCAGAACAGATGAATGCACAAGAGAGAGAGATTGGAAATTAGCGATAGAGAGTTTAAGATGAAACAGAGCGTTCCTGTTAAGCTACCCGTCCCACAGCAGCTCATTCAAAGGAACTCTGCCCAACAACAGCAGTGTTTTCATGCATGTGCGCACATATCAGACAGCCATTCAATAATTTAATGATTACCGTGAGCCGGATTTCATTCCATCTAATTGCAGCCACGGAAATAAAACACAGCCTAAAACTAGGTGAGACGTCCCATGCCAGACAACTTACTCAAGCTCTGTTTCAGTCCTGTTGCAGAATGAACAATCACATTCAGAAAGCCGCAAAGCCCCGTGGATTCATCGTCTGTGTGGGGGAAGAAAAAAAATTCAAGTACAATAATGCAGAGTAATAGTTTTAGTGTACATTTTTTGTTACACTTCACAAATTACTATGACAATTTTTTATATGACTTAATAAAATTTATAAAAATGACTAATAATAAAAATATTGACTTTAATAAAAAATAAACAAAAACAAAGCAAAGCAAAACTAAACAAAACAAAATGAAACTTAAAAAAAAAAAAAAAAACTAAACTCACCATGTTTATTGACTGTCAGGAAACAAAACAAAACAAAAAACTCACCATCTTTATTGACTTTCAGAGAACAAAACACAAATCAAAACAAAAAAAAAAACAAAAAAAAACAAACAAACACTCACCATCTTTATTAACTGTCAGAGGGCAAAACAAAGCAAAGCAAAACAAAAAAATTAAACACGCACCATCTTTATTGACTGTCAGAGGAATGCTGTGAACTGTCTGTAGCTTCACGCAAGAGTTTGTAAGCATCTGCAACTCCAGAGAAGTCAAAGAAAAACTCTTGAAACCTGAAACAAACACAAGCGACTTAGTCATTGGAGCCAGCTGTATCTGCTTTTAACTGGAAATAAGAGACTGTAAAGAAGTTAGGAAGATTTTGTGAGGAACATCTTGTAAGTGCTTACATTTTTTCTGCTGCTCCCGAATGACTTCTCTCCATTCTTCTCGTTCATAGTCAGATGAAATCAGGAATGTATAACCCTGAAATAAAGAAATAAAACACAAGAAGGGCACAAGAGATAAGAACTTTTGAAAACAGCTTACTTACATATCTAAATTCATGTTACATTTGCATCTTTTGACAATGTACTGAGCTTTTCCCAGGACTTATGAAGGATAACCTAAGCATTTAATACCAATTAATGATTTAATAAATAATTTAAAGGTAACACAAACACCTAATATGTTTTTTAAACATTGTATTAGCAACACATTAAAAGTTTGAAGAAAAAAAACATCTTTGTACTTTGTTCTCATGACTTTTTAAATAATTTTACCCCCAAAAAACGCTTAAGCTTTGAATAAGGTTTGCAGAATGCTGTGCCTCCTCTATATTATTTATAAATTATTTATAGCATTAAGCTAGTTCATGATTAAAACAAGCTAATTTCTCCTAACAGGCCATAAGAAACTACATAATTTAATTTAAAATCTACTTTAAATTTCTTCATTTTCTACATCAATATATGTATCCTAATCGAATGACATTTAGATATTTGTATTGGAACAAGAAATACTGCACAATTAATATTTTTTCCTCATTTATTGCCACTCCCTAAAATGAACAGAAACTAAAGATACATCTGATGCTCTGATAATGTTCTGTAATGCTTTAAACTGTGGATTTAAATGTTTTTAAGATCCGCAATACCCAAAAGATGGAGTAGAAATTTGATATTAGCTTTGTACCGGTCATCTGGTGTAAGAAAATTATATAAACAGGCAGCTCATAAATGTTTGGAATAACAAAATTAAAAGTGTAAACTATGTCAGAATTATTTATTTAAGGTAAACTACTGTATCTCGAAAGTCTCAAAGTTTTCTCCTAGCAAATATCCTTTTAGCAAACACGCAGTTTGAGAAGATTTTGTGCTACTGAAAAGAAAGAAAAAAGTAAACAAAAAATAACCTAAACTTGTCTTAGCGTTTACAAACACCAACTCTCTGATGATTTAAAGTGCTTCTTTAATCCTCACTTGTAAGTTGTTTTGGATAAAAGCGTCTGCTCAATGAGTAAATGTAATATGTAAATGATTCACCTTGCCGTTCCTGTTACTGACTCTGAAGGCCATGCAGGGAGACATAAGGAGAAGCAGCGATTCCTGTTCGCACAGTTTCTTCCTGAGGCGATCCAGCACTTTTCCTCCTTTACACACTCTCTGAACACACAGAGAGACCAGATTGAAAACAGTCAACAAAAAGCTGATTTTTTTGGCAGTAGAAGAGCATTTCTGATGATCTCATCCACCTTTTCCCGCTGGATCTCGTTTTTGATCTGAGAGATCTTGACCTTCAAAGCATCAATCTCCTCTTCTGGTATCTGTGGAACAGGCGAGGACTCAGACTCATCGATGGTCTGGAAGGTGACGTCCGCTAGCGGGATATACCACTTACAGTCATACTGCTGCCCCTTCCTGAACACACACACACACACATACATAGACATCCAAACCAGCGCTCACATACATGACAATCAACAGCAGATGGCAAAAAAGACAAACAACAATGATTCTATAGGAATGAAAAATAAATCATGTCTTACCCTCCAGTTTGTTTCTTCAATTTAGCGCAGAGCAGAATGTCGGTAAAGAGGAAGACGTGTCGCAGTTTTCGTGCACCTTCTACTAACTCCACCATAAACTGGTCTCGAAGAAGCTGTCGATTCTTCAAAGACAAGAATAAGAAAGAAAGAAAGAGCATTATTGTTAGGTATGTTCACACATACAAGGAATTTGTTTACATGACAGAGCTCCTAAAGTGCAACAGAATTACAGAGACAGGACAAAAAAACAGATAATAAATATATTTAAAAATATAAGTAAGTAGTGAATGCAAATATACAAACTTACAAGTGTATGTGCAGATATATTACTATATACAACGTTATTTGTGCAACTGTTATGTGCAAATTGGCACGTAAAGTATGTTAAATAAGTGTGTATATGTGTATAAAAAGTGTATAGCGGGTAGATTAGGTGGTGTATGCGTCCAAATGTCCAGCAATTTGTCTCTAGTGAAACCCTGTGACTCAAGACAAGACAAACTAACAAAAACTCAAAAAAGACTGCAGAGCATGACACGGAGGCAACCATCGTTGTGGGCGCCATCATGACAACTCCCTTATGACAAAGTATTAAGAATAACACCGAAACTAATGGACCCTTTTCTGACAGCACTGTAAAAAGTGCTCGGTTCCACACAATCGATTTGTATTTGGAACAACATAAAGGAATTATTTAACGTATTGTTTACAAATATAAGTGGACTGAACATAAAATGATTACAGTTTTTTTTTTCAATCGCTGACAAGCGCTTACCCATACTTCAGATGTTTTTTCTAAACTCCTAACACACACACATCTACAAAACACAATTGGCCAAATGGTTAATTTTCTTCTCAAAAATACATTTCGTTACAGTTTTTTACGATTGGCTCAAGCACAACTTTGAAATTAAGGCTCATTTTGTCAAAACACTTCACACAATTTCCACATCCACACACACAAACAGCAGCACACATTAGTTATTTTGCTAAATTTAAACTGTACTGAACACACACACTTTATTCAATATGAATCTGTTTGCTTCATTAACACACTGCCAAAATTGCATCAATCTTAAGCACTCCTTTCTAACTGACTAATACTGATATAATTTGCGTTTGATTTGTTTCAGAGGTATTGCTATAAAGTACATGAACATACTAAATTATCTAAACAGTGATAGACTGATAGCTAAATATTACCCAATCCTAACAAACCATACAACAATGTCAAGCTTATTTATTCAGCTTTCTGGAGACGTATAATAATAAAAAATAATAATAAAAAAATAAAAAACAACATCACCCATCCCGCCTCCTTTTTACCAATCTTCCTCCCTTTCGTGCTTTCTCTTCCTGCGACATTGTCTTTCATATTTATTGAAGACTAATATTTATAGCTATACTACTGTAAACATATTTATTGACTAGTGAAGTTTACACCTATTGGTTTTTATTGTGGTTCCAGCTGAATGGTGTGCCTGCACACCTGATGGTTGTGTTCAGCCTTTGCTTTGAAATTGCAAGGTAATTCCATCATGAAACATTTCTGTGTCAAAAACATCCAAGTGTGTTTAGTGATTTGCAAATCACTGTGTGTAATGTTTAGCAAAAAGTATAAAGCTGACTATGTGCTTACAGTTGTGCAGATTTAGCCTTGTGTTTCGCTCCTTGAGTGTAAGGTTTTGCCGGTTGTGAGCAAAGTTTAATTGTAGTGTGTAAGCAATCGTAAAACAAAAAACTGTAAATACCATATATAATAACTCTTCATTTCAAAATAGAGCACATCTTTTTCTGCACACACCAACTTTACCAAAACACTGAAAATCTGACTCAAAATGAAAATATTCTGTCAAAGATTAACACTTGTTTTCCCTTCAACAGGTACATGCAGTCAATCAAAGTACAGCAGGTTTCAAAACACTGGCTATTGTTGACATTACATCATCTGTAGAGAATTCTGTTACAATTTTACAGGTATTTGCATGCAAAACATGCAATGCACCATTTTGACAAAATGTCTTGGTTGGGAACTGTACTGTATGTCCACAGGTACAGTAAAGTTTCCATTCAAAAGCATTCCAGTAAAGAGTAAATAAGATTTTGTCCCTTTACTGTTAACTACAGGAGGTACAGTAAAAGCATGGTATGATAGAACAGAGCAAGTTTTACAGTACTGCTTCCAGTGAACAAAATATCCATGAAACGCACAAGAGCATTCTGAATAAAAAAACATAAATAACATAAAAACATAAATCAGCGTTGTGTCAATTATTTAGTTGTTTGTTTATTATCAGCTGAGATATATTTCTGATATTGATATTGTTTTTGAATTGATATGATTGCAGAAGCAGAGGTTTTTATACTGTATAAGGTTAGGAATATTGTTTTTGCTATTAAGGGATGTTGTGTGTTATTTTGTTGGGTGGTATAGCTTGTCTTTTCAGAAGATATAAGCAGTGTGGAAATGTGTTCACTGACTGCATATCAGGTGAAAACAACATGGAATGTGTGAATGGTATGGCCACACTAATTGTGTTTAGAGTTTTGAAAATGTGTTTGAACAAACAAACAGCACCTATTAACATTTCCTCAAACCCATACTATATATATATATATATATATATATATATATATATATATATATATATATATATATATATATATATATATATATATGCTGAAATAAAACAAACAAGCTACACTAAACACACAAAAAAAACACTTAAATTAGTAACCACAGTCAAATAGGAATGGAAAATAATATTCTGACAACTCCAAAATTGTAATCATCCACGATGTTATATATATATATATATAAATTTTTTTTTTTAAATCTTGAACCATTTAGTTTCAGTTGTTCACCAATAGAGGGCGCTCGTGTATCGTTTGGCTGCCCTTCACAATCGGTGGCAGTCGCTGTTTTCCCTGAGGCTTGAGGTCATTTAAAGTAGGTGAGCAGGAGCAGCAGCCAATGAGAGACTCCGACTCATTCACTCATAAGGAGGCCTGACACACTTAAGAAATTGCGCTATTGTGGGTGAGTCACACGAGCTATTTTCATGATATTGACGGGAGCCTGAGGGGGTTTCAACCTCGGACAAGCAAGGCTAGATGGGATGAAAATAAAAAAAAGTGAGCAGGGTTGAGACTATTCAGCAATGACAAGACATAAAGATTATTCACAGTACGAATAATATAAAAACACATCCATATATAACTCTAGATGGACTGAAAACAATATTAAATAGATCACTTTGTCTTCAACACAAACGTGCCGGTCAGTTTTCACCCAGTTTGGGTTAAAGAAAACAAAAAACACTCAAAAGTGTCTGTATGCTGTAAAACCCAACAGTTAACTTTATCAAATGAAAATAGTGTAGTTAACTTAAAATTGACTGAAAGTTAATTCTACTCATTTGAAAATAGTTTTGAACTCAAGTGTTGAAGGTAATGAGTTAAATACGTAAATACAACACTACTTAAGTTATTAAATGATGTAAGTTCACAGTACTCATATAGAATAGTTTTTTTTAACTCAAATGGTTTGTTGCAATCAGTTGCCTCAAACAGTTTGAGTTGCCTTAACTTATTGGACTTTAAGGTACTCAGCTTGTTTGAGTTCTCTTCTTTCATCAGCTTTTACTGTTCTCAAATTGCTTCATTTACTATGGATTCAGTTCAAAGTACTCATTAGGATTAGTTTATGAACTTAAATGGTTTGTAGCAATCAGTTTCCTCAAATGGTTTCAGTTACCTTTATTTTTTGGGGTTTTACAGTGTAAATTTTAATTTCTACACATATTTTCTATTTCTGTTCTCTCAAAAAGATTCTCCCTCTCTCTAGTAGTCATAAATCTTCCCGTCTATTTGTTTATTTTTAGTTTTGAGTTTTATTCATATCTAAATTTTGAAGCATTTTATCAAAGGATATAGTCGTGTAGTCATATTGTCATAAATGATTTGTCTGATTTTATTCTATTAAAAATTCAGTTTGCAGTATTTTAAAAGATATGGAGTGATACCCAAATCCCCCTTTTTGACTCTTAAGTCTAACATGCCAAAAAAAAGCCCACTTTTTTGTTCAGATTTGTTGCCAGAAATGTAAACCAGCAAATTAGAGCCCCACATATAGCTAGCATGCATATCGGGCTTCAGGCCTGCTTTACAAAAAACTTTTTAAAAAGTTTAATGAGATCTAATGCGTGCGGTCCAGAAGCTCCAGTGATGTCTTGCGCATAGAGATTTCCAGCCACGCATAATGGAGAACATAAAGACAAAAATTGGCAATGGAGAACCTAAAACTATGATAAACACTAGAGGAAACGCAAACGTCTAGTCACCTTTTCAAATTGTGACAACTTTAAATGATGAGCCAACTGGCTATGCACAATGCACAACATTAATTTGAGTAAACCCAATGTGTAACACATACCGCTTGGATATCAATGTCATTTAAAAACAGAAACTTCTACTTAAAAAAAAAACAAAGAAAAACCTCCAAACATTTCTCTAAAGTATTCTGATAATACCAGACGAAAAAGCATCAACTTTCTATCAAATACAAATCTGGTCTATTTTAATGGCTGTAACAGCATGAGCTGTTTGGCGGAAAAAAAAACGGCTTCGGGTCGGCCACAGGCCAAAAATTGATAAGCTGTTGGACAAGGGCAAGGCTTGGGCTTAGATTTAAGGCCAGTGCAGGGCTCTACAATAAATGTTAAAGAAAATAATACCTCATTTTCAATTTTAAACACAAGATTTTAGAAAACTGTTTGCAATTCTTAATGTAATTAATGAAGTATGATATTAAATAAATTGTCTGCCCAGCTGTGTATAAATGTAGGGGTTTATATGTATATACAAGATATACAGTATGATTCCTACAAGACCTTCCCTCTCAGGTCATCCTTTACAACTGGATGTGCATTTGCACTCTTGAGTGACCGAATGAACTGTCTCTAATTGAAGGGTGTGTGACATATGTGAAAGACATCTGCTCTCTTCATGCCCTTAATGTCTGTCTCTCTCTTTGTGTGTGTGTGTGTGTGTGTGTGTGTGTAGATGCCTTCAAAACACTGTTTCTGACCTGTGACCTGGCCTCAGCGAGTGTGTGTTTACGCCTTATGTTTAAAGTTGGTTCGAGCTGATAGAGAGGCAACATGACTACAGTGTACCTATCTTCTGATGGCTTCATCATGTCATAAAGCGTGAATCATCTTAGACTGGGTTCTTGAACATGACCATAGGTTCACAGTACTCAAATGGCCTCCACAGTCACCAGATCTCAATCCAATAGAGCCCCTTTGGGATGTGGCCGACAAATCTGCAGCAACTGCGTGATGCTATCATGTCAATATGGAGCAAAATCTCTAAGGAATATTTCCAGTACCTTGTTGAATCCATGCCACGAAGGATTAAAGTAGTTCTGAGGGCAAAAGGGGGTCCAACCCAGAACTAGTAAGGTGTACCTAATAAAGTGACCGGTGAGCGTAACACAAATAAATGCATGGAACTATATGATCCCGACACACAAAAAAAAAAAAAAAATAGAATCACTTGATTTTTATAATTTAATTATAAATTTCTAGGCATCTTTCTGACAAAAAGACGGATAATGTCATTTTATATATATATATATATATATATATATATATATATATATATATATTTATGGCTATGGAAAAAAATAAGAGACTTGAAAATTGTCAGTTTTACAGGATTTGTTAGATATAGGTTTGAGTATAAAAGTAATATTTGTCTTACTCTTTAAATGTTTCATGAATTTTATTTACATTTTTTATTTGTTGTGATTTTAAATCAGGCATATTACACCAAACATAGATCCAATTATTCTTCTGAAATTAAAATGACATATTTGACAGTAATACAAACAGTGATTACGTATATTACATGAATATATATGTATAATATGTCAAAAAAGAATAGAATCAAATGCTTTACTAAAAATAAATAACAACATATTGTAAATTTAGCTCGAATTTTCAATTGGTCTCAATTTTTATTTGTATAGACATATATTGTTTGAAGACAGAAAGCTTTCAACATTATTCACAACATTACATTATAAAATGAAACTTTTCCTTTTGTGATCCATGATAAAATAAATTCAGAAACCATTAATAGTCATAAGAGCATATCGCAACTCAGTGGAGAAACAGATATATCTTGGGCCTGGCGATGATTACCAGTAATGATGAATGCTAAAATAAAGTATTTTTATTAATACTATCACATATTCGTGTAATGATGTTTATCATCGATTTCCAGCAAAGCAATATATATTTTTTTTCATCAAAGCACAAATATTTACTGGAAATATGATTAAGTCAGCTGTATTGTTCCCCATCAGATTATTTTGTCAGACATTTTTGTAATCATTCAAATAATAAACAATCGCTATCTCTGAACTCATTCTCTGAATTTTCTGTAATAAAAATGCTCACAAGACTACAATCAGAGAGTCACTTCCCACACGGTTTTCCAGTAATGTGCGAGGAAGTGTAGGATCAGGTCAGCTGACTCATGGTTCAGAGGGTTTGTGTTCATTCTGAAGCGGGGAAGGGTGTTGAGATACTTCTCGTTTCGCAAAAGTGACCTCTGATAATGGAGGAAGGGGAACAGGAAGGCGGGAGATGATTATATTGTTGACGGGACCCATGTGTTTTGTAACTAGAGTGAGCCAATGAATATTTCTGAAAATATTACTGATAATTGCAGAAGCTTGAGAGAGAGGATTTTCCTTCTGGCCTGGCCTGGGCTGGCTTTTTTACTCGAGTTGAAAGAAATGTTAACTGAAGCGTTAAAAACTACCTAAATAATTACAAAAACCCACAAACAAATGACTACAAGCTCGACTACAATTAAACTGACAACTGAAAAATCTGTTTACTTTTGGTATGGTTAACCAAAAATTCAAATTGGCCCATAATTTACTTATTCTCGAATGGTTCCAAACCTTCATGAGTTACATTCTTCTGTTCAACACAAAAGAAGACAATCTGAAGAAAGCTGAAAACCTGCAACCAACAACTCCCATATACGAAAAAACAAGAACTATAGAAGTCAATGGTTACAGGTTTACAAAGTTTATCTTAAATGTCTTCTTTTGTGTTCAACAGAAAAAAAAAAAAACTCATACAAGATTGGAACAAGTAAGGGGTGAGTAAATTATGACATCTCAGTTTTAGTTGAATTATCTCTTTAATAACCTCATCTGCCTACATGTTTTTGATAAAATGCAGAGCTTGTGCAAACAAATCCATATTTGAACAATTCCAGTAAGATCAAATAATAATAATAATAACATGAATAATTATAATAATTCCTTACATTTATATAGCACTTTTCTGGGCACTCAAAGCGCTTTACACATACTGTAGGAGGGAATCTTCTCATCCACCACCAGTGCGCAGTGCGTTTACGTTACATGGACATCCAGTTATTTACCTTAATCTGAATAAGACAGTACTATAAATAAGATGTTTACATGAAGGGCTTTTTGAATGTTGCGCCACCAGGCTATCCACGTTTCATGCTATTTGACTGTATTCCATGCAGTTTCATGTAATTTTGGGTGTTTCATCTTTAATTTTTCGACTTTACCTTCAGTTCGGCAGTTTCACTTTCACTCATGAACATTTGATTCATGCCCCTGTGACAAACTGAGGTATTGGACACGAGTTTGGTAAGGACTGGTGGAAGAGTTGTTTTAATTTAATTTAATTTAATACTGCACACTAAATGGAAAGAAAATACTTCTTTACTGACAGCCGTGTGTGTGGATCTTTTTGCAAAACGTGGCAAAGAGTCTTACAAGACATCGATAATGTCACTAACATATGCAAACTTCACATGTCTTAATTCCATTTCTGTTTAGTTTAATGATGACTTTAGTCGGATTGAGGTAATCAAAAATCGCTGTTTACATGGTAAACTCTTAAACAGAGGCTGCGTCCGAAACCGCATACTTCCATACTATATAGTACGCTAAAATCAGTATGCGAGCCGAGTAGTATGTCCGAATTCATAGAATTCGAAAATCAGTAGGCGAGAAGTACCCGGATGACTTACTACTTCCGGCAAGATTCTGAAGTGTGCATCCCATGCATGCTGTGCTATCCCATAATGCCCCGTGAGAGTATTCATGAATGGGACTGAAGCAACGCAACTGACGCAGGTAGGTCACGTGACCATGACAAAATGGCGGATATAGTAAGTCCGAATTCCATTTATACTTTTCACATTCATACTGTATAGAACGTACTTTTCTAACGGCCGAGTAGCACGTTTAAATTTAAATGCAGTGCCTACTGAGTAGTAGGCGGTTTCGGACGCAGCCAGAGTATTGTCTTAACTGTATTAAAATCAGAGTATGTCCATGTAAACGTACTCAACGTTTGACTCAACCACACTGTCAGGGCTCTGCAAACTTGGCTTTGCGAAGCAGCAATTTTTGCATGTCCGTACATCAAAAGCAGGTATACTAGGCTCACGCTTATTGTCAGTGGAAGATGATTTAGTCACGTCAGGAATCCAACCACGGATTAGCATGTTGTCCTCACAGAAACAGGCTCAGTCATCACACTGAATCAGGCAAGCTATATAGTTATGGTTCAATTTAATTATTATGCACACTTTAAATGCAGCAAGTAATGTGTGAATGATGTTTACACATGCATTATGAGGGCTGGTGGAGAGGTACGAGTGAAATTGGACAAACAATGGGGGGCATGTGTCCTAAAAGGTTGAAAACTAGGCCAGTATGGCTAGGAACTATACTACACTACATTATACTATACTATACTATACTATACTATACTATACTATACTATACTATACTATACATTCCAGCATAGGTTAATTCAATTCAAATTCATTTGTATAGTGCTTTTCACAATAACTATTATCAAAAAAACTTAGGCAATACCATGGCTGCAGCGGGTGCAATTATATCACGCAGTGCAGGAAAGTTCCCTGATTATTACGCTGGAATGAGACTATCGTTCATAGCTATATTAGTCTAGAAAATATTATCTTTTCATGGTCAATATAATTACAGAAGTTGCAAGCCTTTTATATTGGAAAAATGTATTTAATAGGAAAAATGTAGTCATTTTGAAGTGAAATGCTAATGGTCCAATCTGATTCAATGATTTATGCTAAGCTAAGCTAAAGGTGCTCTCGCCAGATCCAGAGATCGGCTCAATGGACTTCTAAAATGAGGAAATGTTCAAAAAATGTGAGTACATACATTAGACAGTTTTTGATCTGGCTGGCACTGACCTCTCCTTTCTTCACTGTCATGGACTGACGGCGGGGTGTGATCTCTTCATTAATGCTGGAGAGGAAGTTCTGGGAAATGCGGAGGGCGTCCTGCAGCAGAGGGTAATCTGGATGACTGGATGGGGTGTGCTTCAGGAGGTCCTGGAATTGACAAAAACTTGATTTAGCCAATGGGAAATCCAAATGAAAAATGTTTAAGTGGTGATCAAATGCGCGCTCTTTAAGTTTTACTCACATGGAGGACGAGTGTGCTGCGAGTGACCCGATCCACTGGTTTATACAGCAGCGCTGAGAACGACAAAACCAAACGAGTGATCAGAATACTAAACACAGACGTGGAAAAATGAATCATCTTAATCTCTTACTTTCCAGAGAGTGCTTGGCATTCTGGTCTTTGGCGCTCTTGACTTTCAGATTCTGAAGGTGAAACGGTAAACAAATACATAAATTTACCAAGATACCAGCTCTTGTTTTGACAAGCGCACAATGCAAGCGCTTAAAACTGACCTCTGAAATCTCAGCAAACTGAGAATTGGCTTGGCAACACTTTTCAGCCGTTTCCACTGCAATCTTATAGTTGTCCACAAAAGCTCTGTACACGCCAAGCTGGCTGGCCTGAGTGGGAAGATGAAACGACAGAAGAGAGAGTGAGGGAGAAGGTGTTTATAGATAAAAGTGAGCGCTGGAGGCGGATTACTCATGCATGCATGCTACGTCTGCTTGATTCTGCTTACTAAGGGGGAGCAAGCAGCCCTTCGTGGCCTGTTTTGGCACGGTTGACATGTTTCTGATATTCAAAGATAAGCAAATACTAGTCCGAGCCATTAATAAGACAATAAAACTCATCATAAACTATGACAGTGATGTAGCTGGTTGATAAAAGGCTTTCAATATCCATGTAAAATATAAATTATGATAACTTTTTGTTTATCTGGTCACAATTTATATTGACACAGATGCAAAATAAAGTTCTTAACTAGTCTCTGAATATATTCATTCATTCATTCATTCTGCTTAGTCCCTTTATTCATCAAGCGTTGCCACAGCAGAATGAACTGCAAACTATTCCAGCATATGTTTTACACAGTGGATGCCCTCCAGCTGCAACCAAGTACAGGGAAACATCCATACCAATGACTGTAAAAATATGGATGACGCAACAGCGCCTTTTCCCGTTAAACAAGAACTGCTGAAATTGAAGCCTGGGCATGCGCAGAAGGGACTACCAGGTGGAGCTAGAGGCGGAGCTGAGGAATCAAGCTTCCAACCAAACGCTTGTACATCAAATCAACCACGCCCCCCGAACTTCTCACTTGACCGTCCGTATCTGCACTATAACAAAGGCTCGCTAATATAAATATAAGCACTTGTTTTTTAAAACATGTAATAATATATGATTTTAAAACTTTGTCATGTAAGCTGTTTTTAATCATTTAATAAAAGCAATACATGTTGGACTGTGAAAATAAAAAATCTTTCAAACACTCTAGCCTAAGTTAGACTAAGCTATGAGCACAAAAAAAAAAAAAAAAAACATTTCTCTTATAACGGGTTGATGGTATTTCTTATCTTCACAGCGGTAGAAATATTATATGTAAAATATGGAAAATAGCATATAAAACAACTCATACATTTTTAGAAAGGTTTATTTTAACTAGATAAAAATATACAAAATACACCCCATGGACAGCTATTTGCCATGCAGGAAAAATCGTGCGTTTAAAAGATAAATACAGCAAGATTTCTAAATTTCAATAGGATATTAATACATCCCATCCCTGCACTATTTGAAATAATCCTTATTAATTTGTACAATAAACTTATCAGTATTAATGCATCAACTGATATCTATATGACATACTGTAGGCCTATCAGCTGCTGCAACATTGTTTGTATATTGTTTATCATTTTTTGCCTCCGTTTTCATTTGCTTTATTCCATGCCGTAATATCCAGCAAACAAGAATTTACCTTCATTTTGATGTTTAGTAGGTGTTTTCAAATAAAAAGCCAACAGAAAATGGTGTATATAAATAATATAACATTCACAGCACTATTGGTTATATCTACTACTAGAACATTAATATTGTATAACAGCAAATTCAGTAGATTAACTCATAACATGCCGAAACTCAAAATGTCAGAGACGTCCTTAAGTTCAAATAATGTTACAGGAGATGAATGTGGAGATTGGCTAACATTAGTTTTGTCTTCCTAATTAAGATTTCAGACCCATAAAGAGAATTACTGCTAGATAACGATCACCTGTATTTTCCCCGTCATGGCTAGGCATGTATCAGCAAACTAATAATAAAGCTCGATAAAGCCCTCACTTTACCAAATAAACAGTGTTCCACCAGATCCTGTATGTCAGAAAGTATAGTTTACTGCTGAACTCATTTTAATCATGGTAAAGTAACACAGAAATCGAATAATAACACTTCAATCTCCTCCGGAAGCAAAGACTATAGAATACACAAGACATGTCACTCATATCTTATTGAATGGTTACAAGTGTAACAGTCAATATGGTGAATAAAGCCCCGCCTACTAGCATAGGAGCCAATCATTGATCGATATATGGTGAAAAAAGCCCGCCTTCTAGAACAGGAGCCAATTATTGATGCCTGTAGACTGATGATACTCTGGGGGCAGGGCTCGGACCAGACGTGAGTTTCTGTAGATTTTGTGAGATTTGGACCTTTAGAAATAAAACTAAAGAGACAGCTGAGTTTTATTGGTGATTCCTCAAATGAAATTCAATAGTAAGCTTGGCAAGTAATTTTGGAGAATTTGATGTTTCCACATTCAGACAGAACGCCCAAGCATACTGCCCAAGAGGCGTTTCAAAGATGACCGCCAAGTAAAATGACTTGCCTTAAAGGGGCTTTGTCCGAAGCTCAGATGGTCAAGTTTGAGAAGCTGTCAATCACAATTGTCAATCCTGATGACAGTTTTTTAGCAGTAAATTACTGGCTAAAACAAACTGTTTACAAAAATAAACTGCACCTATTTCAGCTTGATAACAAGTGCCTTCATTGACCAGAACCATCTTTCAAGACATTTTATTGCAAGTGTAATAAATTTTTTTTTATTTGGGCTCAAGTATCGGTCATTAACACGGAGGAGGCGGGGTTTATGACTTGTACTGCAGCCAGCCCCCAAGGGGCGATCTAACGGCCGGGAGCATAACTCAAAACAAGGCGTGTGCCACACTTGATCCATACATACTCATTCACACATTCACTATGGCCAATTTAGCTTATTCAATTCACCTATAGCGCATGTCTTTGAACTGTGGGGGAAACCGGAGCACCCGGAGGAAACATGACACAGGGAGAACAAGCTAACTCCACACAGAAATGCCAACTGACCCAGCCGAGGCTCGAAACAGTGACCTTACTGCTGTGAGGCAACAGTGCTAGCCACCGTGTCACCCCCATTTTTATTTAAAGTACATAATTTTATATGTGATAATTGAATTACTGTATTATTATTATACTTTGCTTATTGTATAATTGTAACAACAGGAACAACAAAACTAAATATTAAAGTAAATACATTAATCTAAAGCCATTTTGTGATTTGTGAAGAAAAACAAACAAACATAAACGATCAAGATAAATATAACTTAATAAAAAGTATTTTATCTCACGCACAATGACTCTTTTTCCCAGAGAGCTTCTGGAAAATTATATTGAGAGGATGAATGCACAATAAAACAAAGAAGAAGTGGCTTGGGGTAAACAAAGCTAAAATGTCCTTAAAATGAATGACCGTTTGTGTCATGAAGAAGAAAAAAAACACCATTCAAAAGACAACAACTGTGAAATGGGCACAGATAACAAGCATTTTCCATGGCAACATCTCGAGTGCTGCCAACACTGGGCTAAATAAGAGAAGGACTTGTGATGGGGCTTGTCATGAGACAGAGGTTAAGCACTTCCTTCAACACAGCCATTATTCTGCAACTGGGGAAACGTGTGAGCCATCCAGAATATGACCATCATTACACGGTGATCAGAAAAAAGACGGATTACATCGTGCTGTTAACTCCGCTCACTGACAAAAGATGAATACTTGTTAAAGGAGTGAAAAGAACCATCTAAATGAAGAGAAGCCCTTTCCAAAGACTCTGAAGAAAGGGTTTTTTTGAGGACACAGACCCAGTTTCATGGTAAAAAGACATTATGTTGTATTTGAGTTAGAAATATAAGATTGCATAGAAGGTAAGGGAACAAAAATATGGTGTAGTACTGTGAAATAAAAAAATGTCTTTTTAATGAGTTGTCATAGTGTTGTTAGTGCAGAACAAATGCCTCTTCTGATCTGGATCATTTTTATTGAGTCTAAAACAAAAAGCATAATCAGTGTATCCTGATTCAGGAATATTAACTCTTATGATCCAGTTCATTTAAGTAAGTCAAAAACCTTTAACATAAGCAGTGTATTTTGATTAATAATAAACAAATGACTCTTCTGAATAGGTTTATTTTAGTAAGTCAAAAATATAAAAATGACCAGTGTATCCTGATTCATGAGTAAATGACTGTTGAGATCCAGTTCGTTAAAGTGAGTCAAAAGACATACAACAAGATACATAAATGAATCACTCTTCTGAGCAGGTTTGATTAAGTGAATCAAAAATGTTTTGAAAATGATCAGTGTATCCTGATTCACAAACAAATGACTCTTATGATCCAGTTCATTTAAGTGAGTCAAAAAAATACAACACAATTCATGAGCAAATGACTTTTTTGGGCGGATTCAATTCAGATCCATATCATTTTAGAGAATCAACAAGTTCAACGTGACTATGAAGATTCACAAACAAATGACTCTTTTAAACAGGTTAATTTTAGTGAGTCAAAAACATAGAAAATGACCACCAGTGTATCCTGATTCATAAATAAATGACTCCTATTATCCAGTTCTTTATTTAATGTAATTATGTGTAATTATGTAATTATACTAAGAAATAAAGGTACAGGAGCTGTCACGGTGGCAGTACCTTTTCAAAAGATACATATTTGTCCCTAAAAAGTCCATAATGGTACCTCAAAATTACTTTTTAGGTACATTTGGGCACTAAAATGCACCTTTGAGGTACCACTGTGGACTCTTTGGGTACAAATATGTATCTTTTGAAAAGGTTCTGCCCCAGTAACAGCTCCTGTACCTTTATTTCTGAGAGTGTATGAAAAAAAAAATCTCAGCCCATTTCTGGCCTAAGTGTGTTTGAGAAGTCGGGGTGAGTAAATGCTATGGCCTGAGAGTTGGCGGTCCAAAGGGAGAGGGTCAGGGAATGCCCAGCATTGAGTGGGTTTCCAGGGCAGACACATGCAGCCCTCCATGACATCATGCTTTCTGGGAAACGAAGCAGACACTGGACTCACTGTCCACACAAAACTCTGTGCGACTGTCTCACTGTGGGATTTCCTGTTTATTTACCCCTCTCTGTGTAAAACACACACCCACATTCACAAGGTAAACAGCATGGCATATTCTCTTAAATACTGACGCAATAGAATCACAGCTCAAACACATGTAAATGCACAAATATAAGGGAGTAAGCTGCAAAAATGCTCAGTTCTACACGTCACTAATGCCTCAAAT